ATGATTTAGAACCAATGGTACTGAAGGAGGAAGTCAAAGCTGCAATGAAAGAATTGGCGAAGAACAAGGCTCCAGGAATTGACGGAACACCCATTGAGATATTTCAACAAACGGATGCCCCATCGGAGGCACTCACTTATGCCAAGAGATTTGGAAGACAGCTACGTGGTCAACTGACTGGAAGAGATCCATATTTGTACCCATACCAAAGAAAGGTGATGTCACAGAATGTGGAAATTATAGAACAATATAATTAATATTGCACACAAGTAAGATCTTACTGAAGATAATTCAAAAATGTTTGCAGCTGTATATTGACAGAGAACTTCCAGAGGTGCAAGCTGGATTCAGAAGAGGATGTGGAACAAGGGATATCAGAGCTGTTGTCAGATGGATCTTGGCTCAAGGCAAAGCATATCAGAAAGATGTTTACTTGTGTTTTATTGACTATGCAAAGGCATTTGATTGTGTGGATCATGAAAAATTGTTGATAACATTGAGAAGAATGGGAATTCCCAAACACTTGATTGTACTCATGAGGAATCTGTACCTTGACCAGGAAGCTGTCGCTCGAACAGAAAAAGGGGACACTACATGTTTTAAAATCAAGAAGGGAGTGTGTCAGGGTTGTATCCTTTCTCCACACTTATCCAATCTATATGCTGAGCAAATAATCTGAGAAGCTGTACTATATGAGGAAAAACATGGTATCAGGATTGGAGGAAGAATCATTAACAATGTGAGATACGCAGAGGATACAACTCTGCTTGCTGAAAGTGAGGATGACTTGAGGCATTTACTGATGAAGGTTGAAGAATACAGTCAGCAGTATGGATTATGTCTCACTATAAAGAAAACAAAAATCCTCACACCTGGACCAATGAGCAGTATCACAATAAATGGAGAGAAGATTGAGGTTGTCAAAGAATTCATGTTGCTTGGTTCTACAATCGATGCCAATGGAAGCAGCAGTCAGGACATTAGACGATGTATAGCATTCAGAAGGTCAACTGCGAAGGAACTGTTTCAAGTGCTGAGGAGCAAGGATATCTTCTTCAGGACTAAGGTGCGCCTGACACAGGTCATGATATTTCCATTCGCCTCGTATGCATGTGAAAGCTGGACAATGAATAAGGAAGACCGAAGAAGAGTTGATGCTTTTGACTTGTGGTGCTGGCAAAGAATGCTGAAAATATCATGGACTGCTAAAAGAACTAACAGATCTGTCCTGGAGGAAGTCCATCCGAAATGTTCCTTGGAAGCGTGAATGGCCAGACTTCAACTCACCTATTTTGGTCATGCTGTCAGAAGGGACCATTCCCTGGAGAAGGATGTCATGCTTGGTAGGTTGGAGGGTCTATGAAAGAGGGGGAAGCCTTCAACGAGATGGATTGACATGGTGGCTGCAATAATGGGCTCAAGTATAGCAGGGATGATGGACCTGGCACGGAATTGGACAGTGTTTCGTTCTGGTGTGCATGGGGTTACTATGAGTTGGAAATGACTCAATGGCACCTAACAACAACAACAAACCTTTACAGAAGCAGATTGTCCCATGTTTCTTCCATGGAGTGGCTGGTGAGTTTGAACCACTGATGTTTTGGTTAGCAGCCGAATGCCTTAACCACTGTTGTTTTTATTTGCCATCGAGTTGGACCCAACTCATAGCAACCCCTCCTTGAGTTTCCAAGGTGGTATCACTATGGAAGTAGATTGCTCAACCTTCTTTCCAAAGGAGTGGCTGGTGGGTTTGAGTCACCAGTCTTCTGGTTAGCAATCAAGTGCCTTAGGCACTACACCACCAGAATTCATTGTTTTTGGGTGCAATCAAGTCAATCCTGACACTCCATGTGACAACTGCTCCACAGGGTTTTCTTGTCTGTAATGTTCAAGGAAGCAGATTTCAAGTCTTTTCTCCCATGAAGTTGTTGGGTAGGTTTGAACTACCAACATTTGGTTTAGCAGCCAAGTGCTTAAGTGTTGTACCACTAATGCTCCTTATAACAATTCTCTTATAATTACAATTTTATAGTAGCAACTCATCAAGCTCTTACCCTATGT